CCAGACAATGTACACACCCGACAATGTACACACCCGACAATGTTCACACCAGACAATGTACACACCTGACAATGTACACACCAGACAATGTACACACCAGACAATGTACACACCTGACAATGTACACACCAATGTACACACCTGACAATGTACACACAAGACAATGTACACACCAGACAATGTACACAACAGACAATGTACACACCTGACAATGTTCACACCAGACAATGTATACACAAGGCAATGTACACACAAGACAATGTACACAGGACAATGTACACACCAGACAATGTACACACCTGACAATGTACACACAAGACAATGTACACACCAGACAATGTACACACCAGACAATGTACACACGAGACCATGTACACACCAATGTACACACCTGACAATGTACACACCTGACAATGTACACACAAGACAATGTACACACCTGACAATGTACACACAGGACAATGTACACACCAGACAATGTACACACCTGACAACACACACCAATGTACACACCTGACAATGTACACACAAGACAATGTACACACCAGACAATGTACACACCAGACAATGTACACACCAGACATTGTACACACCTGACAATGTACACACCAATGTACACTCCTGACAATGTACACACAAGACAATTTACACACCAGACAATGTACACACCAGACAATATACACACCAGACAATGTACACACTTGACAATGTACACACCAGACAATGTACACACCAGAGAATGTGCACACCAGACAACGTACACACCAGACAATGTACACACCAGACAATGTACACACCTGACAATGTACACACCAGACAATGTCACACAAGGCAATGTACACACAAGACAATGTACACAGGACAATGTACACACCAGACAATGTACACCCCTGACAATGTACACACCAGACAATGCACACACCAGACAATGTACACACAAGACAATGTACACACCAGACAATGTACACACCAGACAATGTACACACCTGACAATGTACACACCTGACAATGTACACACCAGACAATGTACACACCAGACAATGTACACACAAGACAATGTGCACACCAGACAATGTGCACACCAGACAATGTGCACACCAGACAAGGTACACACCGGACAATGTACGAACCAGTCAATGTATACACCAGACAATGTACACACCTGACAATGTACACACCAAACAATGTACAAACAAGACAATGTACACACAAGACAATGTACACACCAGACAATGTACATACCAGACAATGCTCACACAAGACAATGTACACACAAGACAATGTACACACCAGACAATGTACACACCAGACAATGTACACACCTGACAATGTACACACCAGACAATGTATACACCAGACAATGTACACACAAGACAATGTATACACCAGACAATGTACACACCTGACAATGTACACACCTGACAATGTACACACCTGACAATGTACACACCAGACAATGTACACACCAGACAATGTATATACCAGACAATGTACACACCAGACAATGTACACACCAGACAATGTACACACAAGACAATGTACACACCAGACAATGTACACACCAGACAATGTACACACCTGACAATGTACACACCAATGTACACACCTGACAATGTACACACCAGACAATGTACACACCAGACAATGTACACACCTGACAATGTATACACAAGACAATGTACACACAAGACAATGTACACACCAGACAATGTACACACCAGACAATGTACACACCTGACAACGTATACACCAGACAATGTACACACCAGACAATGTACACACAAGGCAATGTATACACTAGACAATGTACACACCAGACAATGTACACACCAATGGACTCATACAAAACACCCAAAAAAGAACCTTATTAGGACGATGCCCTCTCTCACTCTATGTGAGCCCTGCTTGACTGGTGTGACCTGCTTATCCCACCTGAATTTTCAGTATTTCCAATGGGATCTTGTCTCCTTTGGTGGGTACAAGATTCTCAAACCCTGGTACAGATGTCAATAGTACATCCACCTGACATCTGGGCCTACAGGATCAGCTCGAGCTTTTAACAGTACAAAAATCAAAGACAGGAACAGACAGAGACTCAAAGTCCTTGCTTACTGCCCAAATGCTCAGTGCAGTGATGGTCTCTGGGATTCTTGACGAACACAACAAATGCTATGGTCTACAGAACATCCACAAAACAGCAACTCCCATATGCAATCAGCAGGAACATTGTTTATTACAGCATACTGGGTTCTCCAGCCAGACAACAAAATGGCTACAACCTCAAACTGGTGTGGGAGGTCCTTCTGTCTATGTGTTGCTTTCATTGGTTAATGAATAAAGAAACTGGCTTGGCCTATAGCATGGGAGAAGGAAGGAGGATTCAGAGAGAAGCCATGGAGCTGTCACCAGAGACAGAAGCTGGGAACATTACCTAGTAAGCCACAACCATGTGGCAATATACAGATTACTAGAAATGGCTTAAATCAATATGTAAGAGTTAGCCAATAAGAAGCTAGAGCTAATGGGCCAAGTAGTGATTTATTTATTTATTCTTTGTTTTGTTTTGGTTTTTTTTTTTTTTTTTCGAGACAGGGTTTCTCTGTGGTTTTGGAGCCTGTCCTGGAACTAGCTCTTGTAGACCAGGCTGGTCTCGAACTCACAGAGATCCGCCTGCCTCTGCCTCCCGAGTGCTGGGATTAAAGGCGTGCGCCACCACCGCCTGGCCAAGTAGTGATTTAAATAATATGTTTTCTGTGTGATTATTTCGGGTCTAAGATAACCAGGCAGCCAGGAAGAACAAGCTGCCTCCTCCAACACTCAGAGCACGCAGGCTTTTTGTTTGTTTGTTTGTTTTTAGTTTTGGGTTTTTTTTTTTTTTAATAGGCAATCAGGAGCAGGGAGGAAAGGGTTAGGCTATCCTGAATGTAATTGGCAGGGAATTAGTTATCCTGAACCTGATTGGCTGGGATTCTTTTTCCTGCTTTAACAGAGTGCAGAAACTTAAAGTGAAACTAGAAGTGATTGTAAGTGAAATGAAGCTGGGCCTGGGACCAGGGGAGGCTGGGGCAGGACAAGTCTGGCCCTGGAGCTAATGCAATCTCACCACATGTACGTCTGATCTCTTCAGTGTCTCCCTGGCATCTTGCTGGCATAATCCCCACCTCTCCTCTTCCCAGAGTTCTCTCTCTCCCTGGAAATCCCACCTATTCCCTCCTGCCTAGCTATTGGTCATTCAACTCTTTATTAAACCAATCACAGTGGCACATCTTCACACAGTGTAAACAAATATTCCTCAACAGGGGAGGCTCGTTGCCTGGATTGAGAGTAGTGAAGAAAACATCTGGCTTGGTCCTTATAGCCAGGAGCTGCTTGCTCCTTTGCTGGACTACACGGTGTGGTTAGCCAGGAGCTGTTTGTTCCTTTGTCGGACTACACCATGATCACTTCTAATCAAGATGTGAGGTCACATGGCAAAATCCATCCTTCCTAACACGAGCAAACATGGCTGACAGACATGTGGCTGCCCTCATCCTGATGGGAGACAGCAGCTAAGATGGCAGCAGCCACGTTTCCTTTATGATCATCTATGTATAGATTTTTAGCTATCAATTCTGGTGTTATGAATTTTAAGTTAGCCCTTTTGTTTGAGTCTGCCACAGAGCCTGCAGGCCAGATTCACTGGCTTCTCTTTGCAAAGTGGAAAAACCTGAGAATTAAAGAGGCAGTGTGAAGTTCTGGGCAGGTATAGTAATCGCTTGGGCATTTCTTGCTTTCTAGTCTTTTTAGGGAGCTAGGTAACTAGTAAAGGGACTTCATCTCTGATTTTTGGTCTACAATTAGGAAAGGCAAAAGAAGGAAGGGGCACGTAAAAGAACAGCTCTACAGGCAGAAACTTTTGGCTAATGCTATGTGGTTTACACACCTGTAACTGGATCAGTAAGGACATTTTTTTAACAACAAAAGAACAACATAAGAGTATCCTAGCTGGGCAAAGAGTGTGCTGCACAAGTCTTACAACCCGGACTCCAACCCTGGAACCCATAGAGGGGACTGACCCCAGTTTGCCTCTGACCTCCACATGTGTGCTGTGGAAGCACATGGCCCACTTTCCAGAGCTCTATAGAAAGGATCACACATCGGCAAGAAGACAGGAAAAACAGGTCACGTGCTTCTGAAACAACTGAAGATTTGGTGAGCAATTAGCAATGCTCAGTAAAGCTGGTGGCTTAAAGAAAAAGCTAAAAATAAAATGCCTGACGTGTTTCCATTTTCCTATCTGAGAAGTTTTATGACTTGCATGTTTTGTAGTCTCTGTTGGCTAGCCTTGAACTCCTGACTCTGTCTCCATCCTCTACCTGCTGATGATGCAAATGTCTGTGATTCAGTAAAACAAAACAAAACTTAGAGAAATGAGTTCACTCCCTAAACCAGAGCCCACAGCAGAAGTGCAGTGGGCCTGCACCCTCATGTCCAGGTCAGTCTACCTTCTCTGCTTCGCTCAAGGGAAAATTCGGGAAAGGCAGCCAGGGAAGGTATGGGTGATGGGGCCTGCATGCACGTGGCCATGTCCCCAAGGGCCCACCTGCACTTGGTGGGTACCCCCCACACCAGGGTACCCAGACAGCATACGTCCCTAGGCCAGTGCTGGCAGGATTGCAGGATCCCTGAACCCAGCTACATAAGCAGCTGCCACCCACCAGACGATGCCAAGGTTCTTAAGTCCGTATCTTTACCTGAGTGGTCCTTCTGTGAGCCACTCCCAGTGGCTGCCCATCTCTGTACCTGCTTCTCAAGGGGCTTTGCAGATGGGCCCTGCTGGGACACTAGCCCTTTTGGCAGGGGCAGAACTCCGGAGCACTTACCCCGTTACTTATTTCTGAGGTGAGCTGCAGTGCTGACACACAGAAGTGCTCACAGACACCTGCACTTCTTAGGCAGCAGTTACACTAAATTTGAACCAACACAATTAAACAAACACATGGACACTCGGGCAAACACTGACTTTTAATAGGAGAAAACAACAGTGGAGAATCCCTGCTTGCAGGTATCTACTTGTGAAGGGACATAGCATCCCAAGTCACTATGAAGGTATGTTGCCAGGAAAGGCACACAGCAAATGGCTGACTCGGGGTGTGGTAGGGGAGCCATTTCTCCAGCATTCCTCCAGCCGCCTAGTGCAGACTCACCTGCCCTGACTCCTGCACAATGCTGGAGGCTGGGAACCTGCACAGGTCCAGGCTCTCACCAGATCCTTCCCTCTGTGCTAAAGGCAGGGCCCTGAAGGCCTCTGAACCCAATTCTCCCCAAATCACTCAGCTGAGTGTGACAGCCACCTCAGGCTGGATTTTAACTACACACAGAGGACTTCTAAATATTAACAGTGAAAACATCAACAAGGGGCTGCCATGCTACTAAACTGACTCTGATGGATTTTTTCCCTCAGAGGGCCCAGTGACCCACCCCTTTGTGGTAAAACCTACTCTTTAAAACAACAACAAAAAAAAAAAAAAGAGGGAAACTGTGTAAGAGCAGAACTCTTGCCAGCCAAGGTTTATCAAACATAATTTATTTACAACAAAATACAAAGAGCCTAGAGATAGAGAAGAGCCTTCTTCCAGGACCACCAGAGCAGAAGTAAAGCTCCCAGCAGGAGGCAAGACTACCAGGAAGGGTAGAGGCCCCACAGGGCTGGCCATGGCAGCCAGCGTTCTTCTTCTCATGTAGCCATGGTCCTCCTAGGCCCAAAACTGACAAGGTGTTACCACTTTCCCAAGTAATTGGACACAATTCCAGTCAACTGGTGATAACAGTAATTTAGTGTGGCCTAGCTGTGAGACCGCTTGGCCATGGGCTCTTCCTCCTTCTCCTGCTTCAGCCACCGGTCCAGGAGGCTGCTGGTGGCACCTCTTTTAGCAGGCAATGGGCTCTTCTGTAGAAACTGGCTGGACCACTGGGGTACACCTGACTCATCCTTTTTGGGTGACCCAGAGGCTTCTTTTTTGGGTGACTTTGTAGCCAGCCACTGCATCATTCTTTGACTGCTGCCACTTGTCTTGGGCTCCTACGGGAGAGAGAAATCTCTTAACATCCAGGTTTGAGCTTCACAGGAAAGACCAAAATGCAGATAGGAAAAAGCATGCACCCCAACTACCAACCTACACTTGCATAGTGTTACTAAGGGTGCAAGGAAAAGGGGGCCGAGAGTGCTCCCAGAACAGGGGAGGAGCACTTAAAAATCAGAGAACAAGGGTCTGGGTGAAGCTGGAGTCTCCCAAACATGCAGGGAATGAAGTGCCTTCTGGGAAATTCAGCGACTCAATGGCTGGCGATGGGATGCTAGAAGTGAGGCTGCCACCACAATCAGGCTCAACAGTTTTCCCCTGCCCAGTATGTCTTGAATGTCACTACTCCCTCTGCTGCCTGTGTGCCACACCCAGCCCTGAAATGAGAGGTTCTCTGTGAGCAAACAGCACAGAGTACAGACCAAGATAGAAAAAGAGTTCTTTAAGTGGTAACGGCGGCGCATGCCTTTAATCCCTGAACTTGGGAGGCAAAGGACCTCTGAATTCAAGGTCAGCCTGGTTCACAGATCCCAGAACCCACATAAAAGGCGGGCAAAGCTATAATCTCAGCAGTGGGTAGGAGTGTCCCTCAGGTGTCTTAACTGCCATACTAGCTCTGAGTTCACTAAGAGATCCTGTGTCAGCTGGACATGGTGGCATACACCCTTAATCCTAACACTTGGGAGGCAGAGGCAGGCAGATCTCCATGGTTTGAGGCCAGCCTGGTTTGCATGGCATGTTCTAGGCTAGCCAGAGCTACACAGTAAGATCCTGTCTCAAAAAAAAAATCATTCTGTGGGTGCTAGATAGATGGCTCAGCAGCTAAAAGCACTTAGTCACTCTGAGGAGGACCCAGGTTCATTCCCAAGCATCCATATTGGGCAGCTCACAACTCCAGCTCCCAGAGATCAGATGACCTTCTCTCAACTCTGCAGCCACTGTACTCATGCTACAAGCCCACCCACAAACTAACACATGCTGTGGGACAATGGTCTGTACTCTGTCACTTTATAAATGCTGATTGGCCAGTAGCCAGGCAGGAAGCAGAGGCAGGGCAACCAGACAGGAAGTAGAGGCGGGGTAATGAGAATTCTGGGAAGAGGGAAGTCTGCAATCTGCAGTTGTTACCCAGAGAGGAAGCCAGACACAGAGCAAGCAAGATGTGATTGCCTCCCTGAAAAAAGTACCAAGCCACATGGCTAACATAGACAAGAATAATGGGTTAAAACGTAAAAATTAATTAATAAGAAGCCTGAGCTGCTAGGCCAGCCAGTTTATAATTAACGTAGACCTCTGTGTGTTTATTTGGGATTGAATGGCTGTTGGATCGGGCAGGACAGAAACCTCAGTCAACAAATGGTACCCAATGTGTGGACAACTGTATCCACAGAAAACCTGAGAGTAGGAAGTAATTCTAGGCACAAAATAACAGTGTTGAGCATGGATTCTTGGATTCTTGGTAGCAACAACTTCTCGGGTTTGCTCTCTTTGCTAGAGGCAATGCATCTCACTTAAGAGAGGCTTCCTGACTCAGCTTTAGCTGCAAAAACTTGCAGGTCTTTTAAGAGGCCCTTCACGAAACACTTATATGGTGTTGATAAATAGCCAACCACATGCTTTTTGGTGGTGGCAAGGACCTTGAAACTCCATAGCTTGGGGCAATAAACACAACTACAGCCAGTACTTCCACCATGAGGCTAGATTCTCAGAAAGCTAAAGAATGGGCTGGATCCAGCCATTAAAGCCATGGCCTTAATCCTAGTCATATCATTTAGGAAGGAAGTTTCAGTCTGCAGTCATCACCCAGACACAGTACAAGCAAGATGTGACTGCTTCTCCGAAAAAGGTACCAAGCCATGTGGCTAACACAGACAAGAATAATGGATTAATGTAAGATGTAAGAATTAGTTAATAAGAAGTCTGAGCTACTAGGCCAACCAGTTTATAATTAATATAGACCTCTGTGTGTTTATTTGGGATTGAACAGCTGTTAGACCAAGCAGTACAGAAACCTCAGTCAACAAACACACATATACATAAATAAAAATTAAATAAATCTTTAAAAAATAGGAAAAAAAAATCCAGGCATGGTAGTACATACCTTTAATACCGGCAATAGGAGGCTGAAGCAGATGGATCTCTGTGAGTTTGAGGCCAACCTGGTCTACATAGCCCAGTTCCAGGCTAGTCACAGCTACACAGTGATACCTTGTCTAAAATTCAAATCACATAAACTCAAATGAAATAAACATTAAAGGCAAGACAAGGGCATACTCTGAACAACAGGAGTCTCAGAATGGACTACCTTCTTAGTCACCTACCTTCTTAGTCACCAAGTCAGCAGGAGCCAGACATTCAGGAGTGTTGTTTCGGGAGTTGTTCACCACTAGAGAAACTGGATGGAAGGTGATATTGTCTATGGGATGGATTAACTTCAGAGCTTCCTGAGTGGTGACCTCACCAAAGTCAAGCCATTTGGAGACTGCCTCTTCTCCATCTAGTATGGCAGGCATCCTGGTCGGGGATCAGATGGAGAGGTTGGTGAGGGTAGGGAAAGGAAAGAATCTGAGTCAGTTGTTAGTTGAGGCATCACAGGGTTCCTGCACTAGAGTCAACATTCAGTGAAGTTATGAACTTCATGGCACAGGCAGTGAATAGCACTAAGACTGACTCTAGGGCATGCAGTGTACCCCTAGAAAGTTGGTGCCTTTCTCCAGACACCAACTGTGAAAGCCCTCCAGCAAGAAAGGACTGGCCAGGCACTGAAGTGAGCCAGTAGTCACAGCTATACGGGACGCTGAGGTGTGGCTCATCTGAGCCCAGGAGTTCAAGCTAGACTGGGCAACACAACAAGACCCATCTTTTGTTTTGTTTTTGAGATAAATTCTTGCTGAAGCCCAGTCTGGCCTCAAACTCATGATTGTCTTGCCTCTCCTTTCACTCTCTGGGTGTTGGGATTACAAACTCAGTGTTGCCACCAGGGGAGACACATTTCTCTTTTTCTTTTTGGTTTTCCAAGACAGGGTTTTCTCTGTGTAGCCCTGGCTGTCCTTGAACTCAGAGATCCACCTGCCTCTGTGTTAGGATTTAAAATAGGCTTTAAGACACATTTCTTTAAAGGAAAAAAAAAAAAAAGACAGTCAGGATGGCCCATGTACATAATCCCAGCACTCAGGAGAATGAAGAAGGAAGAGCAACAAGAGTTTCAGGCCAACCTGGATTCACAGTGAGTTCCCAGTCAAACTTGGATACAGTGTGAGACTCTGCCTCAAAAAAATGAGAGAACAAAAGATCCTTAAAGTCTCTGAAATCTGGAAATCTGGATGTATTCATACCACTTGGGCTGTATTACACCTTAGTTAGAAATAACAGACAACTGTTTTGGGGTTTTTTTTGGTCTTTTGTTTGTTTTGTTTCTTTTTTTTTTTTTTTGGTTTTTCGAGACAGGGTTTCTCTGTGGTTTTGGAGCCTGTCCTGGAACTAGCTCTTGTAGACCAGCCTGGTCTCAAACTCACACAGATCCGCCTGCCTCTGCCTCCCGAGTGCTGGGATTAAAGGCGTGCGCCACCACCACCCGGCTGTTTTGTTTCTTGAAAGAGGGTTTCTCTGTGTAGCTCTGGCTATCAATTGCTTTGTAGATTCAGCTGGCTTCAAACTCACAGAGATCCAGCTGCCTCTGCATCCTGAGCGCTGGGATTAAAGGTGTGTGCCACCACAGCCTGGCTAGCTTCCAGTTTTATAGCCCACGCTCATATTTTACTGGTTGTTTGACAAAGCTAATTTTAGGAGACAAATGTATAAATATTTATATTAACAGATAAATGCTTTAACTTCAACAAATCAACATGTTTTATTATTTTAAGATTTACTTTTATTATTTGTAATTACATATAGACGTGTGTGTCTACATGTAGGAATGTGCATGTGGCTGTAGAGGCCAGAGTCAGTAGATCCCCAGGAACTGCAGCTACAAACAATTGTGAGCTAGATCCTTTGGAAGAGGACCCACTGAACCATCTCTCCTGTCCTTCAATGTGTACTTTAAAAATCAGTGAGTTGTGAGTAAATCTCAGTGATACAACACTTGTCTAGTGAGTCATATTAAGTACATATTCAACTATGAGCTCCACCATTAGCACCTAAAAATATTTTAAAATCTCAGAAATCCAAATGATTTCATGTGGTTTTTACTATGTAATTTTTTTTAAATATTTATTTATTATGTATACAATATTCAATCTGTGTGTGTTTGCAGACCAGAAGAGGACAGCAGACCTCGTTACAGATGGTTGTGAGCCACCATGTGGTTGCCGGGAATTGAACTCATGACCTTTGGAAGAGCAGGCAATGCTCTTAACCACTGAGCCATCTCTCCAGCCCTTTACTATGTAATTTTGCAAGTATGTCTGTAACAATTTTAGAACTATATATCATGTTTTGGGAAAACGAATTATAATCTGTACAAGTTAATTTCCTACTCCCCAGAAAAAGGTAGTGACTTGCCTGCTGTGGATGTCACTCAAGCCTTTGCAGGAATCCACTGTGATGATGCTGTAGGAATATAGGCGTTCTCCCTCTGGGGGTTCCCAGCAGTCAAAGATCCCTGCCATGGTCAGCAGCCTCCAATTGTCCCAGACCTTTTCCTTGCTGTCGGTGCTGTCTGAAGCATCATTCCCACCTGACTGGAAACAGCAGTTCAGCCCATTATTGAACCTATTTTACCCACTATCATTAACACCAACAGGCTTCACAGCAAATGTCTACTGAAGCTCCAGATTTCGGCTTCTTAACACTTTCAGAATTTAATACCTTCATTTGGTTTCAAGCTTTCAAAAAAATCTAGCTCAGGAAGGGTCTACAGCCAGGGAGAGCTTGGCTATTGGAACAACCCTCTGGTGTGACTGCTCACCTAAAGCACAAGGAAATAATACAAGCCTGTGAGGAATAAAGATAATGAAAACAGCAAATACAACCCAGTTCTATCCTTATGATAGTGACTTGATCTCATATTTAAAGCCATCATAGAAGAATTCCCAGGAATAACATTTATTTATTTTGGTCTCTGCCTGTGGCTAACAACAAGCAAAAATTGGAAGAAGCATAAAAAAAAGCTAAAAGAGCTGAGTGGTGGCGCACGCCTTTAATCCCAGCCCTCGGGAGGCACAGGCTCCAAAGCTACAGAGAAACCCTGTCTCAAAAAACAAAACAAAGCAAAAGCTAGAAGAATCTACTGCCAAGAGAAATTGTCAGACCCAGACTCAAGACATGATTCTAGATGGCTTAGTTAAACCGCTAAAGGCTCTTGAAACCAATGGAGATTACCAAAACTGAAACACAGAAAATTCAGAAGATACTGTTCAAGAACTGTGGAATAATATCAGATAATTTCACACATATAATACATAGATAAGTGCTTTTTCAGACAAATACTACCAGACTTCAAGCTTGGATTAGTGGCACATTCCTTTAATCCCAAAACTCAGGAGGCAGAGGTAGGCAGGTTTCTGTAAATCTGAGGTCAACCTGATCTACACAGGAATTCTAGGACAGCCAGAGCTACATGACAGAGAAACGCTGTCTCAAAAATAAAATGAAACAAAACCTCAGAAAAGTAAAACAAAAAATGCTCAATTAAAAAGCAGCTGGAGAGATGGCTCAGTGAGTAAAGTGCTTTCCACATAAGCATGAAGACCCGAGTTCTCATCCCCCGCACCCACATTAATGCTGGACATGGAGGCATGTGCACATCACCACTTGGGAGCTTGCTAGCCAGCCACTGGCCCAGGCAAATGAGTGAGTTTCCAGTTCAATGAGAGACCCTGTCTCAAAACAACAGGCTGAAGAACAACTGAGGGAGACACGCAACATCAAACTCTGGCCTCTCTCTGCATAAGCACACATGGTCATGTGCAACTAACTGCAAGTAACAGCGTGTGCACTTCTGACCACACACATACACACACAAAAAAAAAAACAGTAGGTAAGTAACAGAAAAGCTATAAAGTTACTGAGACAAATAAAAGACAATTAGCAAATATTTTAACCCAATTATTTCAATAATTAAAGTCAAGGGATAAGTTCCAAACATAAAAGACTTCTTGTCAGATTATTTGAGAAAGAAAGACAAGCTAAGTGGAAAGTCCGTGTATTACTTCCTCTGGAAAGCCTGCCATGATGCCCTAGTCTGAATTTGATGCTGAGTTTGAGTCCTTGCAATTGTACAGGTGCCTTCCATGAGTGTTCATCACTACATTCCTTCATGTTCTCTTCTCTTTCTCCTCCACTACCCCTCTAAAAAAGGGGAAAAAAAAAACATGGAGGTAAGGCTACCGGTAGTGGTGGTGAATAGGAGAAAGTAGAGGGAGAAAAAAGGGAAGAGGTCCTAGAAGGGCTGAATTACACTTAACTGTAATTGCATTTAGAGGATCTAAATGCAAGCTTCAATCTCATCCCTGAAATAACACAATAGTAGGGCAAGCATACTGGCTTGGTGCACAAATATGAGCTAGTAGTGAGGTCTATGACCAATCCTGGCATTAGTGGCCCCTTAAGAGATCAGAAAACAGCCTGGGGAGTCTTTCGGGGAGCTGGACCTGTCTGTGAAGGGGTAGCAGTGAAATGGTATCTCAGATCTCTAGCAGTGGAGGTTTATTTGAGCGGACAGGGGCTTTCTTCATTTTCCTTGGAAGAGGGATAAATATGGCTAATGAACTGACTGGATATCAAAAGAGCTGAAAATGGCTCCACCTTTTAAAGCTTCTTTGCTACCAAGGAAGAACCCTCAGGAATGCGAACACACTGAAGAATGCAGTACTATACACCCAAGCTTATCAAGAGTGACTGGGTAAAGAAAGAGGCTAGCTGAAAAACCCAAATAAATAAAGAAGGAAAATAGTAAGGCTGGTGGCAGAAAGAAAATAACTGTAAGGAAAAGAAGTGAAAGTACTCAGTTCAATTTGGTTTTGAAATGCATGGAGAAAACAGTTAAATTTTTATTTATAGCAAACAGACAAACAAAGCCAGATCAATCAGTGATTGAACATCCTAATCTGTTTAAAAAAAAAAAAAAAAAAAAACATCAATCTTCAGTATTGGCCTGTCAATACACACCATCTTGCTGGGCATGGTGGTGTGTGCCTTTAATCCCAGCATTCCAGGGGCAGAGGCAGTTGGATCTCTGCAAGTTTATGGCCAGCCTGGTCTATATATCAAGTTTCATGACAACCAAATGTACAGAGAAAAAGCCTGTCTCAAAAAAGTAAAAACAATACACATCACCTTAGAACCCAACAACACTCTGCCCATCCTCACTTTTAGCTCTTTTTTGCCTCCTCAAGTTTTCCTAGTGAAACAGAATTTTAGCCAGTGCAAACTATTAAATCTAACTAGGAAGAAAACATAATGCTGGCATGTCTGGTTTATTTTCAACTTTCTAATGTTAGGATGTGAGCCTTTTATATTATGTGTCTTACAACGAAAGTTCAATGAGGGAAATGTTACATACAGAATTACCATGTGATTTAGCAATTGTACTAAGTATATATATCCACATAAAGCCCTCCCTGCATGTGAGTGTTCATAGCAGAGTATTCTAACAGAAAGGTGGAAGCTTAGCATTTTAATATAAAGCAGTTCGCCTGGCATGATGATACATGACTTATTTTGCTTGTTTTTTTCAAGACAGGGTTTCTATGTGCAGCCTTGGCTGTTCTGGAACTTATCTGTAGGACAGGCTGGCCTCCAGCCCAGAGATTTGCCCTCCTCTGCTTCCCAAATACAGGGACCAAAGACATTCACCACTATGCCTGGCTGGTACATGCCTTTAATTCCAGCACTTAAGAGGTAGAGCTGGGTAGATGTCTGAGTTTGCAGCTGCTTGGTCTTCATAACAAATTCCAGTCTGAACAGAGCCACAAAATGAGACTTAGAAGTGGAAGGTAAATCCCTACTGCTGAAGACACCACACAATTCAGAAACAAAGCCCAAAGATTCCTGAGCTGGAACTGATTCAATGCCCTCTCCTTTAGGACTAGTTTTTATGGGACAAAAAGGCACTATGCAAGCTTCCAAAGGAGGGAGGCAACCAATAATCTACACAGCTATATGCTTATGAACCACATCAATGACTATCAAGGTACGATAACCCTAAAGATACAGTAGTGAGACACAGATCTTGGTGGAAACTAACAGCTCTTTAATAGACTTAAGACCCACTCAACAAGAGGGAAATCATGCCTGGTACTGTGAACCTAGTTAACTCAGTACTAGTAAAGTCATGAATACCAGACGACAATCTACAACTACTATCTTACTAAACCAGCATAATCCCTAACAACAATCTAAGCATTTGTCCTCATACCCACAGATAAGTGTAGTCTTCACTCCCTCAACGGGGAAACTTCTTTTTGCAACAGAGACCATTACAGCAAACCACAGCCAATCAAAATGAAGAACTGTGGAGCCCAGTCTCAATGTGTACATCTATAAAACACTCCTGCACCTGAGGCTCAGAGAACACTGCAGAAGACAGGGTGAGAAGATTATAAGAGCCAGAGAATTGGCAGTTGGCTATGAGACTGTATATCCTTAAGATGTCTTAAGCTAAACCCATAAAGTCTCAGCAACATGACTGCTCAAATGTGAGCTGAACAAGGACACCAATGGACATGACAAAGAAGATGGGGAAAAAGTCAACAAGGCCTCAACCCTACACAAACAGAACAGCAACTGAGGAATGCTGGGAATGGAGAAATAATCATTCCCAGGGAGGAGCACAGCAACTGGTGGTCTAGTGCCAGGTGGTCAGCACTGAACACATATTAAATAATGTAAGGACTGAGCAGATTAGACTTAGGAATGTGTGTGTATATATATGTGTATATATTATATTGTATATGCATGCAATAAAAATGAAAAAGAGGTCATGACATGGAGCGCTTATATGGGAGAGTATGGATGGGAGAAAGGGAGAAATGTAATTATATTATTATCTCAAAAATAAATTACAGACATGTAGCAACTTGAGATAGTTCTGAGAAATGTGGCATTAAGAATTTTGTTGTGCTAACAATGGTCTGTACTTAACACACCCTAGATTACATAGCAATGAGTAGGGTCGCTATCATATATGTGCCCTATTATACAAACATTGCTACAGGTACATGACCTTGAGTCAGTTTGTTTATCTTTACCAAGCATGTTGTTCATGCAACTGCTGATACCTTCTCTGTCTTGATTTGAGGAAAATAGATGAAATATGGTTGCCTCTGGTTTGTTCCCTGACACCGCTGCCACTCGTAGAATCCATCAGCTAAAACAACACAACGTCGTCCTTTTCCCAGAGGAACCTGAGAGAGAATAAACAGGATATGGTCAGTGATAGGAGTCCACTACATGGCCTTTCAGGTCCAGCACTGCACTTTGATAGTAGAGGGCTTGCCCAGCTTGTACAAAGTCAGAACCACATCCAATGTTGTGTGTGTATACACATAAACTAAAACACTCAGGTCTCATGTGTGACCCTAGAGGAGTTACCCTTTATCTTTTTAAAGTGTTTGGTAGGGACTGAACTCAGGCAAGTATGCTCCCACAGAGCTACACACCCACAAGACTTAAATTTATCTGCCCCCCAAATCTCAAGACTTGTTTTTTTTTTTTTTTTTTTTTTTTTGGTTTTTCGAGACAGGGTTTCTCTGTGGTTTTGGAGCCTGTCCTGGAACTAGCTCTTGTAGACCAGGCTGGTCTCGAACTCACAGAGATCCGCCTGCCTCTGCCTCCCCAGTGCTGGGATTAAAGGTGTGCGCCACCACCGCCCGGCAAGACTTGTTTTTTTTTTTAAGAGACAGGATCTCACTATGTAGCTCCGGATATTCTGGAACTCATTATGTAGTCCAGGCTGGCCTTGAATTCACAGAGATGTGTCTATCTCTACCTCCCAAGTTCTGGGACTAAAGGCATGTACCACTACACTTGGCCTTAGACATTCTTTTTTTTTTAAAGTACATTTATTTATTTCTGTGTGTCATGGTATATGTTTGTGTTGTGAAATATATGATCACACTGTGAAACATGAGTTTGTGTTTTCATTAATTAAATAAAATCAACTTTGAGTCAGGAGCCAGCAACTAGTAGCGGAAAGTAATAATGAAGAGCCAGAAGGAGCCTGGAAAACAGATAACAAAGATATGCACCGGAAGCAGAAGGAAGGGACTTTGAGTGTGGCAGTACTTTTTGGTTTGGAGCAATGGAAGAGACTCTCTTTCTGAGACTCTGGCGAAGATGGAAGGTCAGCTAGCTGCTCCTCAACTTCTCTGAGCTAGCAAGTTTCACCCTAGCCCCTGACTGCTCCTGAGTCTTTATTGGCAAATGGAATGACAGAGATTTAGCTAAAAACTACATTTGGTAGCAGCAGTTACTGGCTGAAAAAGCAGAAGATTCAGGTGTGGTCACTGTGCTGGCAGAAAAACATGTTTGTAAGTAAAAGGACAATTTGTGGGAGTTGAAGGCGTAAGTCACAAACAATGCCACACCAGTTTGGAATTATGATTAATAGGATGGTATTTATTTAAAGGGGAAAAAACTTACAGATAACCGTCCCAGACAACAGCCCTCTGCGCAATCAGGAAGAAGTCTAGTCGCCGGCGGAGCAGGAAGTGAAGAGAGAGAGGAGAGGGAAGTAGCTGCTTTTTTAAAGGGAGAAAGACCACGCCCCAATGGGCTGGTATCTCAGCGGCTATTGGCTGGAGGAGCGGAAAGACCTCCTGCAACAGGGAGTCAGTTCTCTCCTCCTTCCATGTGGGCTCCAGGGATCAAACTTTGGTTCTTAAGCTGGTGGAAAATGCCTTTACCTCCTGAGCCATCGAATAGGCCCCCATATCATTTGTCTTCTGTATCAAGTTACCACTCAACTGAACAGATGTTATAAAGATTAAATAACGTACATAAAGGCGAAAAGCACTTTCCCCCTAAACAGGTACAACAGCAGCGAGTGTTGTAGAGCGGTTTCCTTCAGGAGTGAAGAGGAGACTCCAGAGGCAAACTAAACAACACACCTGAGGGAGTAGAAACTTGCAAGATTCTAGAAGGCCTCTCCCCAGCTTTGTAAGAGAAAGCAACAATTGTCCTGGGGAAGGTGACTGACCAGCCCACTGCAGAGAGATCCAGGATGGCAGCTTGTAAGAGCTGGGGTGGTTTTCAGTGATGAAGCTGCTTTCTGAGTCATCCCTAGTGGTGTGGGACAATGGTCTGTATTCTGTCAATTATATTTTAAATAATGCTGATTGGTCAGTAGCCAGGCAGAAAGTATAGGTCGGACAACCAGACAGCAAGTAGAGGTGGGTCAATGAGAACAGGAAAATTCTGGGAAGAAGGAAGTCCTATTCCGCAATCCTGTCCCAGCCACAGAAGAAGCAAGATGTGACTGCCCCACCAAATAAGATACCGAGCCACATGGCTAACATAGACAAGAATAATGGGTTAATATAAGTTATAAGAGTTAATAAGAAGCCTGAGCTAATGAGTCAATCAGTTTATAACTAATGTAGACCTCTGTGTGATTTCTTTTGGACTTAACAATTGTGGGAACCAGGCAGGGCAGAAACCCCGACAACAATCCCTGCTCCTATAAGTGACCCCATACCCATACTCCTCTTAGTAACCCCAATAAAAACTCACCAGTTTACCGGGCGGTGGTGGCGCACGTCTTTAATCCCAGCACTTGGGAGGCAGAGGCAGGAGGATTTCTGAGAGTTCGAGACCAGCCTGGTCTACAAGAGCTAGTTCCAGGACAGGCTCCAAAACCACAGAGAAACCCTGTCTCGAAAAAGCAAAAAAAAAAAAAAAAAAAATTCACCAGTTTACCAAGTTGTACTTTTGTCTGCCTTGGGTTCCCTTTCAGGGGTAAACAGATGTGTGTACTGCCACCTCCCCAGTTACGGTTTGCTCCAATTGGACCATGCTTTCTAGTGTTCACGTATATCTCATCCTTTCCCAGACTGAATTAGGCTGGCTCTGAAGCACTGCTATACGACTGGAAAGACCAGGTTTGTAGTTTCTGTTATGCCTTCTTGAATCGTGAGCATTGCAGTAAATGAGGTACCACATTAGAAGCCTGGCTAAGACTTCTTCATGCTAGGAATGCCGAAAGACTTCTAGTTGTTCCAGCCATGCTAGCCATGGTAACAGCCATGAGTGAAGAAACCATTTATCTGTCTTACTTTGCTTTCTATTGATATTGCAAAACACTAAGACCAAAAGCAATTTGGGGAAGAAAGGTTTTATGTGTTTATAATTTATCATGAAGGGAAGTCAAGAGCAGGAACTCAAGAAAAGAACTGAAGTACATGATTTCAGTGTTGTGGTGCACAACTTTAATTTGAGCACTTGCAAGGCAGATGCAGAGGCAGGTAGATCTCTGTGAGTTTGAGACCAGCCTGGTATATATAGTGAGTTCCAGGACAGCCAAGGCTACATAGAGAGATCCTGTCTTAAAATCAGCAATAAAAATAATCAAAGCAGAGGCCATGGAGGAATGTTTACTGGCCTGCTTGACATGGCTCAATCTGTTTATTTATTTACTTATTTTTCCATATAACCCAGGACCACCTGTCTAAGAGTAGAACTGACAACAGAGAGCTGGGTCCTTTCACGCCAATCAAGAAAATGCCCCACAGACATGCCCTCAGGTTAATTTGATGGGAGTATTGTCTCAATCAAGGTTCCTTCTTCCCAGCAGACCCCAGCTTATATCAACTTGACAAAAAAGTAACCAGCACAACTACCACAGCCTGGTAAGTACAACAGACATTCCCAGTAAAAACCACCTCCCTGAGGCCAGGCGGGGAGGCACACACCTTTAATCCCAGTACTCAGGAGGCAGAGGCAGGCGAATCTCTGTGAGTTCAAAGTCAGCCTGGTCTACAAAGCGACTTTCAGGACAGCTAGAGCTACACAGAGAAACCCTTTCTTGAAAAACAAAACAAAACAAAACAAACAAAAAACCCCACCTCCCTGAGCACAATTAGTCCACAGTATATAAGAGATAATTGTATTACTTTTGTTTAACTTTTGGTGGGAAGGGGCTGATCACGCCACAGTGGGCATGTGGAAGTTAGAAGACAACTTGTGGGAATTGGTGCTGTCCTTCAACCATTATGTCCTGGGGGTTGAAGGTGATTAGCTTTGGTAGCAGGTACTTTAACCAGGGAAATTTATAACTGTTACCTTCATCCCCATTTTGGGATTAAGGTCTCATTATATACCTCTGCTTGGTACATGAAGACCAGGCTGGCCTTGAACTCACAGAAACCTGTTGGCCTCAACCTCCCAAATCTGGAATTAAAGGTGTGTGCCACCACACTGGGCCAATTGTTTTATGTTTTAAACATTTCTACTGCTGTGATAAAACATCAGGACCAAGGCAACCTATTAAAAAAAAAAAAGTGTCTTAGTTATTTTTCAATTGCTGTGGTAAGGCACCATGGCTAAAACAACTTGAAGAAAGGGTTTTATTGGAGACTTAGTTTCAGAGGGTGAGTTCATGACCATCATGGTGGGGAACATGGCAACAGGCAGGGTGCTGGAGTAGTAGCTGAGAGCTTATTAAATCTTGAGGCACAATCACCAGACAGGCAGGTGGATCTCTGTGAGTTCGAGACCAGCCTGGTCTACAAGAGCTAGTTCCAGGACAGGCTCCAAAGCCACAGAGAAACCCTGTCTCGAAAAACCAAAAAAAAAAAAAAAAAAAAAAAGCAAAAGCAAGAGAGACAACTGGGAATGTCATAGGCATTTGAAACCTCAAAGCTCACCCCACATTGACACACCTCCTCCAACAAGGCCATACCTCCTAATCCTTCTCAACCAGTTTCACCAACTAGAACCAAGTATTATAAGCCCATAGAAACTACTTTCCTTCAAACTACAATAACCAATAAGTTTGGGCATTGTTGGTCTGGAACACAGCAATAAATTGAATAGGACTCGGCATTAACAGTTGGGACTAGCCTTAGAAACCTTATTTATCAGGCATACAAAATATGAAACGGTGTTAGAAGTGCCTTTTCCCTAGATGGGCTCCTACCTTGAATGACTGCTTTTCCAGGATGGTATCACTACGACAGTTGGTAGTGTTGAACTGCAGCTTGGAAGGATCACTTTCTTTGAACCAAGATGGAACCAGGCCCCATCGCATGGGAATAATTATCTGCTCTGATGAGTCTACACCCTATCAGAGAAAAGCAGATTCAGCACCTGGATTCGTGGTGTAAACTTGTAATCTCAGCATTCAAAAGGCTGAGGCAGGAGGATTACCGCTAATTTAAGGCCATCTTGGGCTACACAGCAAGTTCTAGGCAAGTCTGGACTACATATAGAAATCCTGGTTCAAGTGCTAGAGATGATGCAGTGGTTAGGAGCACTTGCTGCTTTTATGGAGGACTTGAATTAAGTTCTTAGCACCCATGTCTGGCAGATCCAACTACACGTAACCCCAGCTGTGGGGATCTGAGGCCCTCTTTCCGCTGGCATACACTCAAACAGATGCATAAACACAGATTTTTTTTTTAAAGGCTGACAAGATAAAAAATGCAATTAATTATTTTATACTATATATTGTATTTCTACATAAATTATTCTTTATATTGTATATTAATAAAAACAATTGTTTTGATATTACATATTCATATTATATATTGTATTTATATAAAAATACAAATACAGGCTCAGATACAGCAGGTAGACCATAATCATTATATACATTACTGTAAGTAAATGAAATACAAACAATACAAGGTTATTAAGAAAAAAAAAGTCAGCTGGACATGGTCGTACAGGTTTTTAGTCCTGGTACCTGGGAAGGAGAGGCAGGCAGATCTCTGTGAGTTCAAGGCCAGCCTGGTCTACATAATAAGACCCTGATAATAAGACCCTGTCTCGATAGATAGATAGATAGATAGATAGGAAGGAAGAAAGAAAGAAAGAAAGAAGGAAGAAAGAAAGAAAGGAAAAGGTCGACCAGGTGTGGCGGGTAGAAAAAAACCTGTAATCCTAATTAACACCTGGGAAGCTAATACAGATGCACTGTAAATTTCAAGCTAACATGGGCTACATTGCAAACCCTGTCTGAAGAGGTCATAGGTCCAGAGAGGGATATCATTAGTCTTCTTTTTGATAAATGGACCGGTGTCAAGCTAAATATTATTTTAAAAATATGTATTTATTTTTATTTGCATTGGTGTTTTGCCTGCCTGTATGTCTGTGTGAGGATGTTAGATCTTGGAGTTAGACAGTTGTGAGCAGCCATGTGGATGCTGGGAGTTGAACCCAGAACCTCTGGAAGAGCAGCCACTAATCTTAACTGTCGAGTCATCTCTCCAGCACCAATATTTACAATTATACCCAAAGATCAGTGCTGTTCTCAGCCTTGGTCAGAGAAGCTTCCATATGCAAGGGCTGATGGTTAATGCAGAGACTGACAGAGGGTCAAAGTGCTGAGAATAATGACTTTTTTTTTTTTTTTTTTGGTTTTTCGAGACAGAGTTTCTCTGTAACTTTGGTGCCTGTCCTGGAACTAGCTCTTGTAGATCAGGCTGGCCTCGAACTCCCAGAGATCCGCCTGTCTCTGCCTCCCGAATGCTGGGATTAAAGGCGTGCACCATCACCGCCCAGCTGACTTCTTTTATTTATTTATTTATGGTTATTTTTTGAGACAGGGTTTCTTTGTAGTTTTGGAGCCTGTCCTGGAACTAGCTCTTGTAGACCAGGCTGGCCTTGAACTCACAGAGATCTGCCTGACTCTGCCTCCCACTTGCTGGCATGCTGGAATTAAAGGCGTATGCCACCACCCCACACTAATATAAAAATGAAATTGAGTCATAATGTAAGATCCCAAATATGTGATTCATGTATTTAAAAAAAAGTACAGTGAAGAGTGGTGTGTGAGAGAGAGCAGAGGAGGAGGGTGGAGAGTCTTAACCTGGGTCTCATTACAGGTGCTAGACACCGACAAGAGAATGGAGAGCAGGCAGAATGAGTAACGGGTCCACAGCAGGAATGCCCAGAGCATTCGTTTTGCACAGAGGTTAATATAGCGGGCCAGAGACTATTATTTTTAGGAGGTCAGCTTCTAAGGCTGATCTCTGGTAGGCATTTTGGGATTATTCTGAGTGGTTTTCCTTTCCCTAGCTGATAAGGGGGCTTTAATGAAACAATGAAGTCAATGCTCAACACGTATAAACCCTTAAGACACCTCAGGTAATGCCTGGGGATGCTTAGTTTTTCTGGCTTGAGATAGCTACAGGTATCTAGTGGGTAGAGGCCAGGGGGCTGCTAACCATTTTACAATGTACTGGACAGCTCTCTACAACAAAGAATTATCCCACCCATTAAAACTTCAGCCCTGGGTCTGGTAGATTGTTCAGTGCGTAAAACCACTGGCTTTGATTCTAGTTTTATTCCCAGCACCTGCATGGTGGCTCACAAGTGTCTGTTAACTCCAATTTTGCTGCCTTCTGGCCTCCACAGACACTGTATGCATGTGGTATAGTCATTCATTCAGGACAAACACCTATTCATATAAAAATAAATATAACATTTTTTAAAATGTCAGTGACATTTTAAAGGTTGAAAAATCTTGTTCTCACAAATTCTACTGGTACCCTTGTGAGGGTTTACATCATTGCACAAACCAGCCCAAACACTAGCGCAGCGGATACGAAGAGGCTGAGAAGTCAAAATACTGCAAGCATTATTGCTCAGTATTAGTCATCTTCTCCTCTACAAGTTGTGACTTTGGAATAGAACAGCTGGTCGCACTGTGGTCGATGAAAAAAGAAAGAGGAAGTATTTTGCAAATCAGTGGTTTCAGATACAAATATTGCTACCTATACATACACACTGGCAGTTGGACTGCTGAAATGCTAATTGTTTTAGAATTTATAGGTTTGAGGAAAATAAAGTATCAAATATTTACCAAATTAAGAAACCCTAGCAACCTAAGCAAATCATATTATAGATGTGCAGTCAAGCACTACATGGGCAAACTCAAATGACCCAAATGAGGGCTATGTGTGCTTGGGGCTCCATTTTCCCATTCCTGATCCTCAAGAGCCATCCACTGGAACAGGGACCGTGGTCTGTTCAGCAGTTAAGGCCACTTAACCTCTTGGAGAGGACCTGGATTTAACTCCAAGGACTCAAACAGTGGCCTTCTGTAACTTCAGTTCCAGGGGCTCCGAAGCCCTGACTTCCGTGGGCACCAGGCACACACTTGCTCCACATACATACATGTAGGCAGGCAAAGCATTTGAATAAATAAAAAAATAGTTCAATTTTTTTTTTAAAAAAATAACTTTTCATGTGCTAGTACTGAGCCAAAGGCTCTGAGAATATGAAATAGGCTTTATATTCCCAAGCAACATTACCAGCCTCAATTACATTAAATTCTTTTTTCCGTACATTTATTTGTGTTATATGTCCACTCTCTACCACAGAGAAGGAGTGGAGCTCAGAGGATACCCTGCAGGAGCTGGTTCTCTCCGACCAGGTAGCATTCAGGGATCCAATCCAGGCTGTCAAGTTTGCCAAGCACTGCCACCCACTGTGCCCTTTTACAGAGTTTCTCTAAGCAGCCTCGACTGGCCTGGAACTCACTGTGTAGATCAGGCTGGCCTCCAACCCAGAGATCTGCCTGCCTGTCTCCCTAGTGCCGGGATTAATGGTGTGTGCCACCACACTTGGGAGGTCTTTTGTTGTTGCTGTTTGTTTTTTAAAGACACTCAGATGACGCTGATAGATCAGTAATACTTTAAGGCTGCTATCTAAAAAAAGATCCACGCTGGGTAGAGTAACACACACCTGTAATGCAGAACTCTGGAGACAGAGAAGTTTGCTGTAGGTTTGAAGCCAGTCTGGCTTATATAGTGAGTTCCCAGACAGCCAGACTACATATATAGTGAGATTCTGTCTCAAAATTTTTTCAATGTATTCAAATATGAGGTTCATATGAATTGGGCAAGCATTCCAACAGTTTGAGATTTACTCCTTACCAAGGCCCAGAGTGATGTTCAATTAGGGCCTGGATCTATCTGTAAAGGCTACTTGGCTACTTTCATGCTCACTGCGGGGGCTGGACAGACATCAAAGGAACCAGGAGTTGGAGGAGCATCCCAATGCGGGGCCAGCAGCCAGAACCGAGCTGACAGTCCTTACCTTCTCAAAGTGCAGCCGGGAGAGAAGCACTGGGCTGCTCGACTGGGGGCTCTTGTTGTACGAGGGGCAGTATTTATCGGGGTCCCTCCACTCGGGGAGCCGCCGCCTGCCCTGACGATCGTGATAGGCACAGGCCCTTGTGAGAACATCTCTAGGCAAGTGACAGGATGTTCGCCCGCACATTCTGCAGCACCGCCTCAGACCTACAGCCACAGACGTGAGGTTTTATTCCCTAGGCCACAGCGTCCTCCCTGCCATTCCCACTGGATCCTCCGACGCCACAGCTTTCACCGAGGGCCCATTAGCGCAGGGTCACCCTGTCGCTGCCACGGCAGGGCCCACAGCCCAGCTGAAAGGCTTCAGGTGTTAGGCGAGAAAGCAGTGCTCTCCGGGGTTCATCTCGATGGATTAATAATTCGGCAAAGAAAGGAGAGAGCTCTCCCTGTTCACGCCAACAACCCTCGCTCGCCGCAGAGACCGCACTAGCGCCCTGCGCGCAGCCGCTCGGCTCCGGGGGCGGGGCCTGGTCGACGCCGAGCCCGGCGACGAACCCGGGCAGCCCTGCGCCCGACCTCCCGCCCGTCTCCCCTCCAATAGGACCGGGTCCTCCGCCCGCCCGCGTCCCCTCAGCGAGGCCCTCTCCTCTCCTCCGCCCGCCCGCGTCCCCTCAGCGAGGCCCTCTCCTCTCTTCCGCCCGCCCGCGTCCCCTCAGCGAGGCCCTCTCCTCTCCTCCGCCCGTCCGCCCGCGTCCCCTCAGCGAGGCTCTCTCTTCCTCACAGCCAGACTTTCCTGAGCGGGAACCGGGTTCCCCGCACGCCCGCCCGCCCGCCCGCGTCCCCTCGGAGGGCCCGTCCCCCGCTCGCGTCCGTCCCTCGCCCGCGTCCCCTCGGAGAGCCCGTCCCGCGCTCGCCCGCATCCCCCTCACCGCCAGCTGGTAGAAGCCACGCTTCAGCGCGTCCGGCGTCCTCCTAAGGGACACCCGCCCCGCCCCCGCCGTGACGTAGGCGCCGTCGGGGTTTCCTCCCCGCGGGTGGGGCTGCGGCTCCTCCCTGATCTGAGCCAAGGAACTTGGAAGACACTAAGTTCCTTTGATGCCCCCTCATAAAGCAAAACAAAACACACGCACCCGAGACAAGCACTCAAGGCGACCCTATCTTTCCTCCCTCCCAGACCAGAACCTGTGTTGGACTAGATGTCCAAACATCAGGGAGGAGTTGCTCCAGACACCATTCACATAACCACAAATTGATGCGAAAGCAAGAGGATTTTTATTCTGTCATGACAGGGTCCTTCAGGTTCAGGATATGAGGGACATCGATAGCTGTTACAGTCCATCTTTTAAAGCGAAAAGCCACAGACACAAGGGGGGAACCTGAAGGTTGTTTTCCAACTTATTGGATTGGCTTATTCAAAGGGTTACTAATAGTGATTGGTCTATTCCAGGGCCGGAGAATAGCTGTGTGGTCAGGTGATAAGGGAGAGCATCTGACCATTGGTTCAGTGACTAAATCAACACATCAGGAACTGAGTCAACATCTGTGGGTTGTATTTGCCTCAATTCCCAAAATGGAGTTACGTTTGAAGATTATTCTCAAGGGCACAGGGGGATGAGCAGTCCAGCACGTGGTTATTTACAAGGACACAGGAGGATAAGCAGTCCAGTGTGTGCGTGTGTGTGTGTGCGACTGTCCCTTTTCCAAGACAGAGTGAGTGTAAGGTTTTAGAAAAATGTCTTAGGGTTGAGGGGGGCTTACAAATGCATTTAGAGTCTTTCACCTGAAATCAGGAAAGCTGTCTGCTTCCCAGTCATTCAAGTCACCCTCAAACATAGATGGCCACCAGATGAGACTTGCTAGCTCTCCAGGGTCAGGAAGTCCCACTTGGTTTCCTTTTGACATTTGTTTTGTGGTGTGTGTGTCTTCACAAAAGGAGGTTGACACACAATTCCCTTTAGTGAGGTTTATTAGAATGGAATGGCATCCAGGCTATGATCAGGCCGAGAGGGGTGGGAGGGGAGGTTATTAGCAGAAAGAATACAATAATGAAGGTCTAAGTATGTCGGGCCTTAAAGGGAAGGCTTTCCTTTAAAGCCTGGAGAGGCCCTCCGTAATGGCTGGAGGGAGAAAGGAGGGAGGGGGGGGGCAGGCAAGAGCAGCTGCTCCAGAGTGTCCCTGGCAGAGGGATGAAGGAGGGTGGGGGCAGAAGGGGAGCAGCCTTCAGCAACCTCCATGAGCAAATCCCCCCAAACAAATAAGAAATCTGACTCTAAACCTTTTAAGGGTGACAGAAAATTTCACATCACATGATTTAGTTCGAAACAGCAGGCAAGATCAAGCACAAGGAAAAGCCACCACCACCGTAAATCACGAGTTACTGTTAGGCCACACCACAGCTTCTTAGCTATGCTCAGGTGTAGCCTGATCTCTTCAGGTAATGGGATTCAGCCTAAAGGGGCAAGCCTATGTTCTAACATGCACACGTGTATGTGTATGGGCATACTACATACAAGCTACGCATGAGGAGGTCAAAGGACTACTTTTGGGAAATGGTTCTCTCCTCCACCACATGGGCAGCCAATCTTGGCAAGTGCCTGTACCTGCTGCGCCATCTCAGCGGGCCCCAGAGGAGGTCCACTCACAAAGTTCTACTGCTGTTTCCAATCGTTTAAAAACACCTGACTTGAGTTTAAGGTCCATGACCCTTGGGGAATACTCCAGCCAAAAGAGACTGGTCTTCCCACTCACAGACTGACCCAGAGCAGACACTCTGGAGACCCCCGTTCAGAGCTCCTCAGGTAACATCCTGGTGAAGGACACCAGCCCTCTGGAAACTACCCATCTACAAATGCCTGAAGATGAGTGGCTCATGGGGCCTGCTGGCGCTGTCACTCAGCCAGCCTTTATCCCCATCCTAAGCTTAGCACTGACACAGCCCCAGCGGGTACCTGCACACTCCGCTTGGGGAAGGGAGGCCTCAAGGAGAGGGGGAGGCCCTGAGCACAAGCCTGCAGAAGCAGCTGTAAGAAATACATGCTGACTTATTATAGGGTAAAACAGTTTCTTTGGGGATAAATATGCAAGAAAGTCTGAACATTTTATTCATTTGTGATGTCTCCTTGCAGGCAGGGTGAAAAAAATTTACCCTAGCATTCCTGGGTTATAGGATGGAATTTAAAAAAATCTGTATTGATTTGTGATTGTTTCTGAATACAGAGGTGTGGGAAAGGGTTTCCACTGGCTTGGTGGGGAAGAAGCTACTTCAACGTAGTGCTGGAAAAAGGAGTAGGGCCTACTCAGGCCAGACTTTAGCCCACTGAAGCCAAGATGATGTCTACTGGCAGTTCCTCTGAGCTTCTGGCTGTCACCTGCATCGTAACTGTGTCCAGAAGCAGAAGTCGGGAGCGCACGAGGATGTCATGACCACCCCGGAAGACCCCTGGAAGAAAGAAGAAGCTGAGTTTGTGGGGCTGAAGGGGCTGTGGGTCTCACACTAAGGGTGACACAGGCAACGAATGACCAAGGCAGTCGCTCTGCTGAGGCACAGTTGGGAAGCCTGGGCAAACCTCACTGCTTCTTTGAACTCTAGAACCCTTAACAACAAAGCATGGCAGTAAGAATGTTAACTATTTCACGTTCCTGCCAGACTCAAGTGAGCACACAGATACGAAAGGCTTAAACCTCACATTAGAGGCTCACACACAGCAGCAGAATCTGAAGAGTCCTGATGAGGGGGAGAGTCCCAACAAGAAAACCCACAAAGCAGATGTTTGACAGACCCAAGGGACTGTGGCGGTGAGCTGTGAGGACGCACTGAAGCAGAACATCTTCCCAACCCTGTTTGTAAACTCATTCACCTCACGCCCCCAAACAACGAACCATGAGCAGGAGGATTACTTACAAATTCAAGGAATCTTGGGCTACACAGCAAGACTGTGCACCAAGAATCTGCCTAACCTCAATCCCCGAGTTTCCCCTAGCCTCAGTCCATCCCCAAGTTTCCCCTAGCCTCAGTCCCCGAGTTTCCCCTAGCCTCAATCCATCCCCAAGTTTCCCCTAGCCTCAATCCCCGAGTTTCCCCTAGCCTCAGTCCCCGAGTTTCCCCTAGCCTCAGTCCCCGAGTTTCCCCTAGCCTCAGTCCCCGAGTTTCCCCTAGCCTCAGTCCCCTCAATGTCCAGCTCCATATCCACACCTGTCTCAGGGCAAACGATCCATGGCCCTTTTTGAGTTAAACATAGGATATCAAGTATTTACATATGAATTACACAAATGATTTGCATGAAATACTCCAGGGATGAGTGGCACAGGTGCTCCGAGTGTGGGGTAACAGTTAGTGCACTATATGCACTATTTAAATTCTGTGTCTGTTTGAAAATTTCAGAGACGAAAGAAAGCTTAAGCGTCCATTCTTTTGTTTTGCTTTGCTTAGGCATTTAAGCCCTTGGCCTTAAACTTACACAAAAGGTCCTGTCTCTGCCTCTCAAATGCTGAAATTACACAGTGAGCTATCAGGCCAGGCCCCATACCCGTTTTTCTTAGAAAAAACAAAAACAAAAAAATAACCAATAAAGTTGATAATTAGACAAAGGAACATCAGACAAGTCACCGAAAAAGAAATATGAACGGAAGACACTTCGTTCAAAATGCAAAAAACTTACGTTAGAACTACACTGGGGGCTGGGGAGACGGCATTTGGGTCCCCACTGTTAGATCACAGACCTGCTGCTTTAAGAGACCAGCGGTCAGGGAGAAATGCTGGGCCATCATGCATGCCCACTGCAGCATCTTCTCACAGGAAAAAGGACTAGCCCCAGCCAGGACTACTAGAGCACACGGTGTGTGGGGAAGATGGGGCAATAAAACCCAGTGCCAGTTCCTCCTGTAAAGCACCCAGCCCTCCCCACAGACGTTTCTTACCAGCTAGCAGCAGCGTGTGAGTGTTCTTGTTTTCTGGCACTTTGTCTGACCTCTCACAAGGATGCATGCCCAAGAACTTCACAATATTGCCCACAGCCTCTGTAGGAAGAAAGCCCAGCACATCAAGTCACGGGGGGATGTGTGTTTGTGTGTTTATTTTGTTGGGTGCTAGTTAAATCCCGGGCTTCCTATATGCCAAGTGCACTTTCCCACTGAGCCACAAGCCCGCTCCCAAGACTCTGCCCCAGCACTCAGCATGTGGGCTCTAGATGTGGCCCTGGATTCTTGGTGGGAAGAGGGGTACACGGCAGCTGCTGTACAGCTGAGGGTTCTGAAAGGCAGCCAGGTCAGAGACGGAGCCACCAGCATTTACCTTCAAGTGTCTTGACGGTAGACAGGGTGAATGTTTCCTCCTTCTCAAACTCATCCCCAACCTCATCCCAGGCTGCTTCAAAGTTCACTTTCATGACTTTCTGGATGTGATCAGCCACGGTAACTTCTAGATCCTCCAGCTGGAGATGGGGGGACAGAGGTTAGACTTCAGGAAGAGACTTCCTGTTCCACTTTCCAGGTCCCTGCTCTGAACTCCTCTGCTTATCCCTGCCTTCCCGCAGCTCACTTAGCAGATACCTGC